AAAAAAGACCTTTAGTTTAAAAATATGAACTTACTGAATATATAGACATCTGAGATATAACATTAGTTTCAGTTTAGTCTGCCCTTTACAGCACAACCGAGGACGCGGAATTTGGTCCGCCCTTTACAGCACAACCGAGGACGCGTGTGTATAGCCCGATTTCAGACAAAAAGTTGGACAGTATTTCTGATACACTCGTGGCGGGAATTTGGCCCGCGCTATACAGCATAACCGAGGACTGGCTCAGAATAGCGTCAAATTTCACCACCTAACTTGAAATGGGCCCCTTTATGCATTCCACTGCTTATGTCAACCGAGGACGTCCTCGGTTGGAGGTGTGTCCTCGGTTAGTGGGTGTCGGGCGGGTGTGTGTCCTCGGTTAGAATGCGTGCACAAGAGCACACACACACACACACACACACACACACACACACATCTGTGATGCACATAAAGCACTACTCTGCCCAAGTACTGTACTAGTATCCCTTGCGCCTTTTTTTTTTCTGAAGTTAGAAACCACATGATATTAATGAGCTCAGACATCTTTAAACCAAGCCCTCAGCTGGAAGTCTACAAGTTGAAGATGTCAGAGGTGAAAATATAAGTATGCATTTCCTAGTGTCAAGAAGAAATTACATTATTTTTTTACTTTTTGGTATAATTGTAGTTAGTTTTTAAACAGTATCATTTTTTCTTACACTCTGAATAAAATATTTCATTAAGCTCCAAGATTTGCTGCTGTTAAAAGGAAATTCTGATCATAGCCATGGTGTTGTTTATGGTGTATGGATTAACAGGAGATTTTGGCAACAATCCAGATGTCAGTCATATTAAAAATTTTGCAAATACACTCAAATTTCAAATTTAAAACTGATTGTTTTCACCAGCTTTAAGGTTATCAGAACTATACAGAGTATTAACCTTCTAAAAGGTCATCTGCTTTGTAGTATGAAGACCAACTAAACCCTGCCTCGAAAAGTAAGACATTTGAAATCTTTGTGCCAAAAGAGAATGCCCTTGAACACTGGTTGTAAACAAGTGTGATATGTCAGACAATTGTGTAAATATATAGTGCTAGTACACTACATGTACTACAGGTACATCATAATCAGCAACCCAATAATCCTTATCTGTTGCATCAGGAAATTCCTCATCCCAATATTCCTATTTATAAACAACTCCTACGGACGTAAAATAAAATTACAGAAATGATGACTCACTTGTCAAATCTGGTCAAATGTCAGCTGATGAACATAAAAATCATGCAATTTTGTGTTTATTCATTAACATATGGGTCACACCTTTCTACTGCTAGGTGAAATTATCATAAATGCCTTGGCAGCAATTTCGGAATAAGGAATAACCAGTACTTTTTAAATTTATAATGAAATCATTAACAAATAGTGAGACTTTCGACTGAGAGTATCTTATTACATAGCCATATATCATCTCCTTTCACTCTAGACTCTGAGTGGCTTCTTGTGAATATGAAGAATCATTACTGGGTTCTAACACTTCTTAATAATCAATACAAGTTTGTGAACACCTGATGTTGGTTTGATGTGAATGACTCAAGAATACTGGTATACAGTACTGTGCATGACTGGAATATCAGTGCACACTGTTGACTATGGGACATACCATACTGCATCGGCACATTAACTAGAGTGGCATATGTATGGTGATTTTATCACTTCGTTAATAATACTCTACCATTTTTTAAAATCATTACAGTACCAAGTATAGACTTGTGAGGTACTCTCAAGTCGTATTGTGTGGTTGTAACTTTTAAATGTACATAAATTCATTAACCGATGAAGGTGACAACCTAGCTATCACAAAATTAATGCGTCATCAGAATGATTTTGAAATGTACACTTTGTTAGCATAGCCTGTATATACATGGATCAGAATCTTCAATAGTCAATAAGAGTGATATTGCGCATGGATTTCGTGCTAGTGACAGCCAAGCACTTTTGAATCAATAAACTTGGCGTCCACAACTTACCCAGAATGAGCTAAAAAGACCCAGTGCCTGATATGCAAGCCAGAAAATAGCCTTCAGTAAATTGAAAATCTTTACTAAAGGCCCAAAATGGTACAATAAATAAGTCACCGGGAAACCAATGCCGATGATAACTATGGCCTTGATGTGCCGTTTTATAGCTCCTGCGATTGTCTGCGATGCATTGTCAATTACATTCAGGGGTAAAACCACCACCCCTATGACAAAAGGAGTCCCTGATTCCGTGAGTCCTTTCAACCACCCTCTTAAGCAAGACGTAAGGCTGTTTTTAACTGGGTGTAGTACAGTTCCACACAGCAAAGCCCACATCAGGGGGCGAAGGAATATTTCCAGAACGAAATAAACTGAGACTGCCGCGCTGCAGACGAGAATCACGAATAGAGTGGCACCTGCGTTGTAAAATGCTTGCTTCAGTGCTGATTCGTCGCCCTGTGGGACCACCTTGTAGATATTATCCAGAGGAGACCGAAGGTAGTCCATCTTTGGTGTGGCCATCTTGTCTTGTTGATGTCTGCTAAATGACGTCACATTACACGAGAACGAGACCGGGAATTCCCTAACAGGGGGCTTCCCCCACACTATTTGTAAACATGGCATATCTGAACTAGCTGTGGCTCACCATAACCATTGCATACCTCGATTTCAGTCTTTGAAGTTTTTATCTGATTTAATCTTTTTACCTTTGTAATATTGTAATAGAATGAAAACTCAGACATGAACCTCGTCTAAGAAAAAAAAAAAAATTTAATCATGAAACAAATTAACAAATTTTTAAGGGGTAAAACACTTATTATGCTGGGATTTGGGCATGCCAACAGTCCTGTCAGAATTGATATAAGGATTCCAGAATTTGAATTATGTAGAAAATGGTTCATCTGTATACTTACGCAAGGCCAGGTTTAAAATAATTCGACTTTCATTTCTGTTCTTATGTGACCTATTCAGTAACTCTGGTCATTTATTTATAGGGAAAAATTAGAAGTGAAAAAAACAGTATCAAAATATTACATGCACCTTTTATTCAGGAAAAAATAAAATGTAAAAGATCTATCAATTTATTGTGCGCATATTACATGATATCAATCACAGTACACAGTACTGAAGTCTTTTCTCTTTTAACATTAAAAGATATGCTTCTAAATAACTGACTTTAAGAGATTATTTTTAAATGAGGAGGAGTTATATTTCCTTTTCTGTAAACAGATACACAACCACAGCTTTGAGATGTAAAATTTCAATAAAACTCAAAATTTGGAAGACAGGACTTTTTATCCACATTAAATTTTTACAAAATTAGTACAGTTAAACTAAAAGATATACCTGTATATCATGGACTGTTGTTCAATTGAAGAAGCAGATTAATAATTTTTTATCATTTTTTTAAATCTATTACTATGCATCTTATAAATGACTAACTGACATGTAAAAACTATGGCCATAAATTAATAAAAACAGATGGCCACACCATGCTGCTTAGCTGGATCCTCAAGTTGCTACTGACCACATGGTTTGTAGTAACAACCGTCATCAATGACATAGTCAATCAATCCACATCACAATACACTCCACGTAGTTGTGACAATGCTGTCACAACCAAAGAAGTCTGTATATTGCCTAGATTTCTTGACCATGTCCTCCAGTAAGCAACATGTGCTGTTGACCTTGTGTCCACTTTCAGCAGGCTGGTCATGGATTGCTGCACTCTCTTGGCTTGTTTTCATGCTGTAAGGAGTGTTATTTTCCAAACAAGTCACCAAGAATGGGATAGTTCCACAAAAAACTGTTAACAGTGGTATAACTGTATTCGGAATTTCTTGCACGTGTGAACAGTGGTAACATGGAGTCCTACAGTTAGCAAAGCTCTTTTCAATTTAGTAACAGGAAAATAACTCGTTGTTAGCCACATTCATAGACTGGGATCTGGTCCCTAGTTTCACAGAGGTTCAATTGATATTTGAGTTTAAATCTTAGTTTTCTCCAACCCATGACAAATCAGTCATTTTCCGCCGAAATGAAGACACAAAAGTATCTGAAAATTTGCCTGATTGTTTCTGTACTTGAGTGGATCACTACTGGCTTATGATGGAGTGTTTTACAGTGACTACCAACTAGGACAATATTTCTACTGTTCCACTGATACTTGTGCCAACTTGTCATTAGCATGTCTAAACACTGTCCATCTCATCTGGTCAGCCACCACCAGCCTGCCGTGGACACAAGGCGTTTACGAAGATCATGTGACTGTGAGACCAATGGCCCAGTCAGGTGGTCGACTGTCATAGGAGAAGACTGGCCGTGAAGATGACGCAGAGCAGGAGGCGGCTTCACTTGCTGGTGATGATGTGCCGGCATCTAGATAAATACAGGAAGAAAATTAATTTACTAGCAAATAAGGATAGTCTGTCAGTACCTAATATGATTTAGCTACTCTGAATAGGGCCAATATTTTGGTGTGTGTCTAAGTTGGCTCACACATTTTGATTGAAGGTTGTGTTTTTATGGGCTGGGGTTATGTATGTGTACACATAGTGTATGATAGTAAGCATGTGGCACAATTTCCTAGCAAAAACAAAACAAAGGAGACATAAAATCTCAACAAAAGTTTATTCTCACCTGCATCATACTGTGTATTTTCTGAAGGTCTGGCAGCTGTGGCCACATCCTCCAGGTCCACACTCTCACTGTAGGGGTTCTCCAGCACCTTTAGCACCCTGCGGACCTCAGTGTAGTCCCCCTTCTCTGCCTGGGTGATGGCATGCTGAGCTATGAAATTTCTCAAGACAAACCTAGAAACCACGAACCAAGAGATTCAGGGTGAACTGATGAACATTTCTAAAAGAATCCACTACATGTATGCCTCTGATATACATATCACAAGAATAGTAACCAAAAATTTAACTAGTGTGAGTAATAATTCAAAGAGTAAGAGTCATCTTATATTGAGCAGTGTGTTGAATAAATAGCAAACATGAAATCTGCTGACCACCTTTGCAACAAACAATTCCAGATAACTTTGGTGATCATTAATTCAATACTGTAACAATAAAACTATTTGATCTGTATAAAAACAACTTGTGATCACAAGGCAAAGGGAAAAGCAATTCATGATTTATTTCTAACACCGCACAGTGTGTATTAAGAGCCACCAATAAGTAACAGGATGGCTCTCTCATTTATGACCTATGGCTTAAACAACTTTATTCTGCTAAAGTGAATGTAACATTCAACACCAATCTGTTAGTGTGGCACACTGACTTTTTTTCTTTTTCCTTAAACACTTTACAGTGCTACTATATTTAAGGACCCCAGACAACTTACTTAGGGTTGTGAGAATTCATGGTCTTCACCCTTTCTTCATTCAGTGCAGCTACATCAGCTCCCTCCTCTACCTCCTTCTGCAGCCTCTCTGAGTATGTCTCCAGCCAGGTTGACCACGCTTCCTCATCCTCTCCACACTTACGTTCTGGGGTGTAGTCCTTGAAGTAACAAAAAGATGAGTTGGCCATAAAAAACAAATTTTATTGCAGAAAAAAAAAAAAAAAAAAAAAAACCTGCTATCCGAATCTTTACCCCACTAAATTGCATACAACCAATCATCATCATCCACATTGTTCTTCACTTATCATCCTCCACACTGTGACCTTCATTAATCAGCCCCTTCCACACTGTGACCTTCACCAGTCCTCCTCCACACTGAGACCTTCACCAATCCTCCTCACCACACTGTGACCTTCACCAATCCTCCTCCACACTGTGACCAAAACAAATCCTCCTCCTCCACACTGTGACCTTCACCAATCCTCCTCACCACACTGTGACCTTCACCAATCCTCCTCCACACTGTGACCAAAACAAATCCTCCTCCTCCACACTGTGACCTTCACCAATCCTCCTCACCACACTGTGACCTTCACCAATCCTCCTCCACACTGTGACCAAAACAAATCATCCTCCTCCACACTGTGACCTTCACCAATCCTCCTCACCACACTGTGACCTTCACCAATCCTCCTCCACACTGTGACCAAAACAAATCATCCTCTTCCACACTGTGACCTTCACCAAGCATCATGTGCACCATGACCTTCACCTTGAGTTCTTCCACTTTGTTTGCCTTATTCAGTTCCTCTGCCAAGTCTTCAGCAGTTAACCCCAAATGCTGCACCAACCCTGGATGTAGCTGCTCCATCTGAAGGAGCATATTCAGCTGACTGAAATAAAGCCATCATGAATATTACTATCAAAAAGTGTGTATTAACTTGATTGTGTCAGTTGTTGCAGCACATCTTGAATTAAAAATGCATGGATTGCAACTTCATATAATTCTGTAAAAACAATTAAGAGATGTCGTTGCATGCAATAATTTATAAAACTAATCAAATTTATACATGTGTCTTTTAAGTAGTTCACAAAAAGAAGAAATGAAACTGCCAAGGCATGATTTGTCTACTTATTCTCAGCAATATCAATCTACAGCATTCAAATAAAAAATAAAAAATTCTGGAAGCATATCTTGAAAACAACAACAATAATAATAATAATAACTGCAAAATCCTAGCTTTAACCCACATGAATAGACAAACTACTTACGCTGGGGGCATCAGAGGTTTACATCCTTGTCGAAATTCCTCCAGAGAGCAGCACTGACTTACGAGAAATCTTTTCACTTCAGCCATCTTGTCATGGAAGTGTTCCGAGCCTGGGAGGGGTAGTTGACTGAGACAGCGGAAACTGTTGGTGAAGTCTGCCCCTGTAGCTTGCATGGTGCTCAGAAATGATTTGACTAAATCACTGGAATTTTTTAATGAAACTATACCTTTTCTTATTCAACTTAACAATTGCAACAGAAAAAATCTTTTATGTTCTGGATTTAATTACATACTTGATAAAGTCTCATTTCATTTTTTTTTCTCAACCTAATTGTGGACTTGATTTCTTTAAGCAAAGAAAAAAAAGCAATGCTTACTCATCTTCAGGTAGATTTTCCTGTAGAAGTCCAAACTGGAAAAGATGATAATTTCAAATGACAACTGTAACACACCCACTGACTTTACATGGCCTTAATAATTATCTTTATCAAATTATTGCTCAAATTACCCAATTACAAAAAACAAAATTTGACCTTCAAAGGTACTGTACACATGATTCAAATGTATCAAAACCCAACACTTATAAGTGACATAATACCAAACAATTTTTTAACATGATAATAATACCTTCTTCCTCATCTCCCCCATGTACGCTTTCTCATATTCCTCGTCAAACAGGACCATGGCTGGTCTGGTGGTTTCTAGAGGGATAGCCTCACTGATGGCCTCGGCCAACTTTGCACAGTTCCACTTACATATCTTGGGCTGGTTTTTGTAGGAGTACCTGCCGTTTGCATCTGGAATGAGACAGTCAACAAAAGAAAATTTTGTATTTAATAAGTGTATTTTTTCTTTCTTCCTTTTTTTAAAGTTTTTTTCTTACTGTAGGAATTTTTTAGTTTGGAACTTGATAAGTCAATGATCTGATTTAACAGAAACTAAAATAAACATTCTTATATCTTGCAATGCCAAAACTGCATGGCCTTTGATAGTTTGATTTGCAAAAGAAAACATTTCAAAGAAGCAGACTTCATACCTGATCCATTGCACACAAAGTCTTTGTCAAATCTGTCCATGAACCCATAAGGCCCATAGTCAATGGTCAGTCCTAAAATACTCATGTTGTCTGTATTCAACACTCTGAAATACAACAACAATAGGTCCACAGAAAAAGTCAACATGTGAATCAAGCTAATGACACACACATTTTGTGTAATATTTCTATAATTTTGACAAGTTGCTCCATCATTTTAAATGTTTTATACCATACTACCCTCTGATATGGAAAGAAATCAACAACATTACACTGATGAGACTCAAATGTTCACTTTGTGTGAAATGACCCTTATACTGAAAGATACACAATGTTGTCCAAAGGAGTGAAACTCATTCTTAAAAGCATATGAGAAACATAAAATTATCATTTTATGTAAATTTCATAGCAAAAAAAGAAATCCTGTCATGGTGGCCTAAACTGAGGTAACATGTTGAGTGGAAAAAAAGTAAAAAGGAAAATTTAAACAAATCATGACACCAGCCCACACATTGCCATTGGGCCACCATGTCAGTAATCCTCTACATGCCCATGATACCAGCCCACACACTGCCACTGCCAGTAATCCTCTACATGCCCATGATACCAGCCCACATACTGCCACTGTCAGTNCCCATGACACCAGCCCACACACTGCCACTGTCAGTAATCCTCTACATACCCATGACACCAGCCCACACACTGCCACTGTCAGTAATCCTCTACATACCCATGACACCAGCCCACACACTGCCACTGTCAGTAATCCTCTACATACCCATGACACCAGCCCACACACTGCCACTGTCAGTAATCCTCTACATACCCATGACACCAGCCCACACACTGCCACTGTCAGTAATCCTCTACATACCCATGACACCAGCCCACACACTGCCACTGTCAGTAATCCTCTACATACCCATGACACCAGCCCACACACTGCCACTGTCAGTAATCCTCTACATACCCATGACACCAGCCCACACACTGCCACTGTCAGTAATCCTCTACATACCCATGACACCAGCCCACACACTGCCACTGTCAGTAATCCTCTACATACCCATGACACCAGCCCACACACTGCCACTGTCAGTAATCCTCTACATACCCATGACACCAGCCCACACACTGCCACTCTCAGTAATCCTCTACATACCCATGACACCAGCCAACACACTGCCACTGGGCCACCATGCGAGCTGTTCTCAGAACAACCTCCTTGTAGAACTCATAGTACATTTTCTGCTTATCCTCAGTGTGAGCTGCCCATATCTGGAAGTAAACAACACATATTAATGAGGGAATATATTTTCTGTAATATCTAAACCAATTTCTAAATCAATTTTTTATAGGTATATAATAAGCATTATTAATAGAATAACTAATACAAAGTCATAGAACTCATTCCTATAGACACCATCCGTCTACGTGGATGGGTTTAACTCTGAATCTCAAGTGGGACATTTCAAAATATGTATGATGACATACCTTTGGGTAAAAACCATGACATATCACACTATACTGACTTACCTCTGGGTAAAAAGTACTGATCACATAGTCCAGTAACTGCAGAAGTATTTCCTTCATTCCAACACTGGGTCCCTGTCTGCCATTGGTCCCCATTGCTTTGAATATTTCAAAGGAACCAAACCTTTAAAAAAAGGCAGCAAAGTTGTCAAATGAACAGACAACAGGCAGAAATGAGGATTTTATGAGGATTTGTTCAATAATGGATATGTGCAATACTGGATGTTATAGTTGAAAGAAATGAATGATATCAATTTTAATTAACTTAATACGTTCTTCGTAAAATTTGCTTAAAAATTATCATTCAAATTAATATGACAGCTAGCACAACGCTTCTTTTCAAATTCTGGCTTTTAATCAGTCATAAGCCTTATCAAATGTTGCAAAATCTAGAAAAGTATCTATCAAAAGTAATATCTTACAAATCTACCTGATAAAAGTCGGAGCTATCCTGAGAATTATTGTGCACTTCTCATCCTTGAGATTGCCATCATAGAATATGTCTCTCATCACGACATCATCACTTGTGACACATGTGCCAGCCCTGGTGGTAGGAATACCCAGGTTATGTATTGCCTGAAATAAAGGCAAATTTGTGGGGACAATGTTTACAGAAGACTCAGCTAAGTAGTTAATTTAATTTGCAGGTCTTGAAAAGGAAGCAGTCTTTGTGAAATACTCTTTTGGTCAACTAAACTTCACAAGAAAACTTGGCTTATGCAACATGAAAAATATTTCAGAGAGAAAAATGTCATTAAACTATCAGAATACCAGAGTGGTATTACCTCACTACATAAAAATTCTCTTATGCTAGACCTCAGCACTTTCCTGCCATCTGCCATCCTAGAGAAAGGTGTCTTTCCAGCTCCTTTAAATTGTATTTCCCACCTCTCCCCTTTCTTGTTTATCACCTCACCAAGATACCTGAAATGTTTATGTCACTCTTATTGAAGTGTGTTTGCATCTTCTTCTTTAACGTCATTTATATTAAAATATTCATAAATAAAAAAGTTCTTCCACAATTTCAACTGATTTATTTTGAACCTTAACAAGATATTCAGCAATTAACAATTTATAAAACCTTCATGCAGTAATGGGGCCAAACCTTTCACTTCATTTTTTTTTGGTGCACTGTTTGTCAAGCAGAAAGGTTAATGCAGAAATGGCCAATGGTAACCAATTAAAAGGGCAATTTTTTAAAATAAAATTTTAATATTTTAGATTTACTTTCCACACTTCCTTCTTTAAATAAATAAAGAATGCCTACATAGTAGCTCCATCTCCAAGTTGACCAGCAAATTGTCCAAACTGGTGGCCGCAGTAACAATGGGCAGCAGTTTCGGCACCAGGTAAAAGTTTATTGCCTGAAAAATATTCGGCAAAATCCTCCCTCCGTAGCTCGCTCTCTGGCAAGTCCAGCAAGGCCATTGCTTTCGCCGACACGCAAACAACTTCTGGGTTTGTCACAGGTGTCGGCTCTACTCTGGAGAAACAAGCACCACGGACTTGCCTTACAAAGTTTTTCTTCTCGGTATCAATGGGCAGCGCGCGTAGCGCAAGGTTGTCAAACTGCAGGTTTTCTAAGGTTGCCATTTCGCCTGCCTCCCAAACACGTGGGGTTTGTTTACAAAATGAACGTGTTGAACACAAGAGTTCAGATGAAGGTCGGTCGCTGTTGACTGTTCTGGAAGAGAACAGCGTTCCCATTACAATAGCTTGTTTACTTCCATTACTGCTTCCATACCTTAGAAGTATGTTGCGCAGTGTAAACATTAATCACCAATAACTTAGCCCTCTTCTGTAATGTTCACTAGTGTTTCGTAAAGCTAAATGTCCGGGTACTTCTTGACATGTAGAGCACTGAAAATATATGTTCTTTTGTTTACAAGTTTTATGTAGAATATACGTACAGTAGTCATACAAATAGTAAATATATTCCAATAGCACTCAATATTGAAGAAAATTCTTTCATATTTTAAAAGCTATCTTCTTTTCAATAGAATGATATAATGTACGAAAGTAAACAAAAAATATAGAAACTACAGACAGGTGTAGAGGCTAGCTTCGGATGCCAGGGTAGTTGCGTCAAGGTCACTGCCGGCCATGGCGAGTCGCGTGTGTCTGAAATGTCGGTGCACTCAAATTTTACCAAGTTTTAAACGAAACTTGACAACTGGATATTTACAATCAGGGCAGTTTTGTACATTTCTTCTTGGTTTCAACAGACGTCATATTCAATGGTCAACAAGAAATAATGCAGTAGTGAATCAGGTAAAGAGTTCCTTACGAAACTACTCTCGTTCTGGCAGTGGCAGACGAATTAATTTTTTAAAAATTATTAAACTTTGGTTTTTCTGTTATTAATAAGATATTAAAATTTTTGGGAATATGAATAGCCGCTGAATGGCACTGGGAAAATTGAAAATTGCCGATTGCAAGCGTTTCAAATATCTGTTCCCTTTAGACGAGTAAAACTAGCATTTTCTTACTTTTCAAGTTTTTGAATTAACTGATATTTGAATATGAAATAAAAAGTTTCAAATATCTTTTCGACATTTAACTTCAAATTGTAGGATTTACATAGATGAAGAGGCAATATCTGCCTTTTTATATTTTCTCATGAAAAAGACAAAAAATGAAAATCGTGAATAATTAAACTTCAACATTAAAATTAAGTTAAATCAAAATTTATCCAATTGAATAATGGGGACATTGAGCAGTACTCTCACCACACAACATAATTTTGATGAACATTGAAAATTAGAGAGTTACAGAGTGGAGAAGGAGGTGAATACTGAAATATTTTGGAATGGGTTTATATTTATTTATTTTGAATACATTTACATTCATATATATATATTTTTTAATATTTGAACTAACTCAAAATTTGCTCTTTTTCATCAGCATGATACCCATGTACAAATAAATAACATTCTTTTCTTTTATCATCTTTTTACAGGGTTTACCAGTTTTTTCTAAAAATGTTGGTGCAATGAAGAAGGATCAACACAGACAGAGCTTTAGCCATCAAACGCGATCTTACTCTTCATCTCAACATATACCTCATATACCAGAACAACTGCCTACACACGTAGATCCATTTAAATTAGTAGAAAAAGAAGTGTCACTGCTGACAGATGATATACAAAAGGTTAGTCACTTGCATATATGTCCCTCATTAAAATTTTTATTTCCACTTAATTATTTTCTTTCATTTGCGCAAGACTTCATGGCGGATTTCTTTTGAATTTGATAGGGGTTGTGAATTTAGGGAAATAGTGCCTATTTTTAAAATGGTTTTTGATAGTTTAAACCTACTATATATCTTTCACGTATGGATATATAATGCCACAGGCAGAATTGACAGTTTTTTTTATGTTAACTTTGTAAAATTAATTTTGTTATTGAGAAAGAATTGTTACTATATTGTCACAGGACCTACATGTAATTTTTAAAATACTCTTTTCTCCATCCTTGATATCTTGTTTCAGGTATTTATCGTCTGTTATTTATTTTAATAAAAATTTAAATTACTGTTTTTGTTGAAGGAGCTTTACAATAGTGCTGGATCAGGGGATATCTTGGAGCCAGCTCAGTACCACTTTGATGGCAAAGGGAAATCTCTCAGGCCAATGGTAGTTCTCTTAGCTGCAAAAGCTTGTAATATTCACGAAGGGATCAATAGGTAATGGTCAATGCATTCGTTAAAGGTGAAACAAATATCTGAAAGTGGTAATTGCAGTGATTACTCAAAAATTGAAATACTTTTGTTCCAGGTAGTTCTTTACTCTAAGTGTAATTGTTGAAAAAGTAGACAATTGGTATGCACTTTTTAACTTATGTTATAAATGGGAAGAACGAATATAGTTTTAGAATGATGAAAAAAAGCACTGTTATGTCCTTAATTTAAGTTAGACTTCAAGAAAACAATTGTATTTTTTAAAATATTTCCAGTATATTACCTAGCCAACAAAAGATTGGCATGGTAGCTGAAATGATCCACACTGCGTCTCTGGTTCATGACGATGTTATAGATGCTTCTGAGACAAGGAGAGGCAAACCTAGTGTTTTTAAACTTTGGGGCCAAAGAAAAGTAAGTCATGTCAACTTACAGTAGTCACTTTACTGCATGCTGGATTCAGTTCTGCTTCAGTGTTGATTTTAGTAGTAATCATGTTCATGTAAAAGTGGAAGTTATTTACTGAAATTGTTCAGAGTACTAAATATTTGTATTAAGGAGTTGAAGTTAAACAAAAACTTATGCTTCAAATACCGGTATTTTATGAATGCTGGAAAATCTATTTATGTTTAATTTCTTTCAGATTTACTGTTTTTATTACCTAGCTTGCAGATGATAGTTTTATGTGATGGAAACTTTTTTCTTTGCAAAATTTCTATCATGAAATGATTATAATTTCAGGCAATTCTAACAGGAGATTTTATCCTGTCTGTTTCTTCCCAAGTTTTAGCAAGGATAGGAAATAAGGAAGTTGTTGGTGTGATGTCACTTATTCTTGATGATTTAGTACGAGGTACGTAGGGGCTATTGATTTTTAATATCAGCAATAGTGATTTTTTTCTGAGGTTTTAATCTATTATACTGTATGAATAATGCATGGTCACTGGCAAAATATTAGTTTGGGTGTGTATTTGCTGGGTGTATTTACTCAAAGCAAGTGCCTGTTTTACCTAAAATGGTTGTTTAACATTTGTGGACTTAAATAAGAAAAGGTAGTAATCTGTACAGTTCAGTCATCATGAGTGTTTATTGGCACTGTTAAAATTATTCTGATTAATTATTTTAGAAAAAAAATATAGGACAAATTTATAAAAAGGTTTTCTTTAATAAAAGAAAAATGCCAGGTAAAAAAAGTTAATGCAGAAGTTTTGTTGAATCTATCATCAAAATGCCTAAATTGGTTACATATCCAGCATTGACTGGTGATGTCAAAATTTAAAAAAAAATACCCAATAACTACAATGATGGTATTTTAGGGGAATTTATGCAACTTGGATCGAAGGAGGATGAGGAGAAAAGATTCAACCACTACCTCAAAAAAACATACAAGAAAACTGCTAGTTTGATAGCAAACAGCTGTAAATCAGTAAGTTGTCTTTTTAATGGTTTTGAATTATATCCAATACATGATTTATTGAAAGATATTTTGTTAAATAAATACTTAAACAGTACACATTTTTCTAAATAAGTGGAATATCTGTAGTCGCAAATTCTTATTCAATCACATAAATTCCCACCCAGCCATCCTTTTGGTTAGAAGAGATTCACTCTGAATCCAAATTTGATTTAGGTTCTATGCTATGTAGTAAAAGCATAGTTTTTCACAAAAGGAGCCCCCCATCAGGGCCGTAGCCTCCGGGGGGGCAGGGGGGG